GGCTGGACAACAGAGTGAGACTCCAACTCAAAAAAAAAAAAAAAATTAAACAAAACCTCTTCTGAATCAGTGTTTGGAAAAGTTACTACTACCTCCCAAAATAGTTTTAAAAGGTTCTCTGCAGCTTTGGTTGACTAACGATAAAGCCACTGTCCTTCATCCCTGGGTGAGTAAAGGTAATATCATTCTTTATGCTTAGAGAGTACTTTAGTAAGGGCACACACAAAATCACAACTCAAGTGAAACAGGAGAGGGCAGCTAAGGGCACAGCTATGGCAAGAGGGACTTTTAGACTTCTGATCTGAGACTCAAACAAACTTCTCCTGCACGCCACTGTTCACACTCATTTTTGGTTTTTATATTTTAAAGGCTTCCCTGTGCTAAAACCTAATTCCTCACTTTCCAGGTGGCCTCTAATTTTCAAACAGCTCTGGTTCCTGAACAAACAGCCTGAAAATATATAAGAAAACCTTGAGCCTGCTCTGATGATTCCTAAGAAATCAACAAGTTTTTACTAGAATACTGTCTATATGTTTTGGTGCTACATGCATACATTTGTGTGTATATTTGGGGGAGGGAATTTAGGAGTATTGCCCAAATATAAGACATGGCTCTTGCCCCAGAGAATTAAGGGAATGTTTTCTAGCTGAGGAAATAAAACTAATATGCATAAGGAAGCATTGCAGTGTACAAAAACAAGTGTCTTATGTGGTGAGGAATAACATTGTTATAGAAATTAAATAAAGATACATAATGACAGAGTAGTTAGGAAAGATTTTAAAAAGTGAGACTTTAGCTGGGCCTTAGAGAATGGCTTTGGATGGTAGAGAGAAAGAAAATTTGGAGGCTAAGAAAATTTAGAGGAGTAAAGCAGGTGAAGGCAAAGAGAGAGGCAGGGAATGAGCACCATGTATAACTGAAGGAGAAAAGGGAATGTAAAAGTCAAAAGAGAATCATATTAGGTATATCAGTTGTATATAAAAACTTGGGTGGATACCATGGTGGTAGGTTACAGAGAACCTGAAAACCCAGATACACATAGCCTTAAGTGGTAAAAGAAAACAGGAAGACTGACAGATTTTGACTAGAAAAGTAGAATTTAGGAGAGACTGGATTTTCAGTAGTATGCAAGATGGATGTGAATGAGAGACTAGTCAAGGAGGGCAGCTGGGAGACTTTGGGGGAATCCAAGCGTCATGAGGGTAGTAGCAGAAGAACAGGAAGGAACATAACAGAGATAATTGAAGAAAGAATTAAACAGCTTAAGATTTTGAGAATACTGATATTAGGAGAACAGCCGGGCTTGGTGGCTCAGCCTGTAATACCGTGCCTTGGGAGCTGAGGTGAATGAATTGCTTGAGCCCGCGGGTTCGAGACCCGCCTGGGCAACTTGACGAGCCCTCATCTCTACAATTAATCAAAAATCAGCCGGGCATGTAGTGCACGCCTGTAGTTCCAGCCACTTGGAAGGCTGAGGCGGAAGGATCACCAGAGTCCAGCAGGTCGAGGCTGTGGTGGCCGGGAGTGGCCACTGCACTCCAGTCTGGGTGACAGAGTGAGACTCCAACTCAAAAACAAACAAACAAACAAAAACAAACAAACAAACAAAGGAGAATAAGCTGGTTTAGAGGACAAGGAGGTAAGTTTGGTCACTGGCATGAAGATTTGAATGATAGTGAAGTAAAAGTGTTCAATAAGGGGTTGGAATATATATGACACAACTGGTCTTAATTGGAGACATGAGAATTACCAGCCTATGTAGGACAGCTGAAGTCATGGAATGGGGTGAGTATTCTAGAACTGCATGCAAAGAGTAACAAGAAAACACTTTTTCTACTTGGGAGTGTCCTGTAGCTTTCTTGGTATTCATATTGTTTGTATTAATCATTTATATATGTCTGCAAATATGAAAAATTTTCAGGTATATGTGTCCTGACTTCACTAAGTATGTTTTACCCACATATATATTTACACCCTACCCATTAGTCCCTAAGAAATCCCCCATCCCCAGGTTTTCTCTAAAATTGTTGATGACAGTGGTCCCATTCATGTCCTTTTCCACGTATTACATCTCTCAAGCTCCTAGCAAAGTAGCCAGTGCACACTGTAGATATTCAGTAAATATCTGTTGAATTCGGCTGGGCATGGTAGAGACAGAGAGAGAGAGACAGAGAGAGAGAGAGAGAGAGAGAGAGAGAGAGAGAGAGAAGACTCACCTCCCCAAGGTATGGGAAGGAGCCAAGCTTAAGAAAACGTGGCCTGGCCATAGCTCAAAGAGCACATGGCCATCCATAGCTTAGGAAGGCAATGGCCTTTTTCTTTTTTAATAGTAATATTTGTTGAATGAATAAGGACTAGGAGCTCTGTAAGGGCAAGTTCCTTTCATCATATATAGAAGTATAAGATTCTGTCTCTCCTCTTTCCTCCACATCAAGGGTAGCATTTTGGTTAGTTGTACTTAGAGAAACTGTGTCTTACCTGAATTATTAACTAATATAATAGCCACCACTAACTACTCTATTGATAAAATATTGAGTTAAGCTTGTTTAGCTTGAGCTAAATAAGAATTACTCATGGTAGTAAAAGAAAAAGCCTACTTTGCTTTGAATGTCTGTCTAGCTGAACATGGCATCACAGAGCTGCTGCACGGTTTGAGAGCAGTTGTTAAGAATGCTCCCTTGAGAATGGCACACGTAAGCAAGACAATATCTAAAACAACTGGTGAGAGGTTCCAGGTCACCCAATTTGGCTTAGAAAAGTCCCATTGACTAAATATCTTGTTTGAGCTTTGGAAATGTGCCCTCAATGGTGTCTGGGTTCACAAGGGAAGCTGAATTTACGAACTGACAATCTGCCTGCTGGAGGAAAACTGACACCCAGTGGAAGAGAAGCAGCCAGCTAGGTCGGCTTTTTTGCCTTCTTTTGTTCACCCCTTCACTCTGGGTAGGGGAAAATGTCAAAGGCGTCCTTTGTCTGTAAATCTTCCAAAGTCTTAATAAATAGAAGGCAAGAAGGGAGTAGACTGAAAAAAGCTAAGACAAAACCTCAACACACCTACCCTCAAAAACCACAGGACACAATCTTGATATTAAAAACAGAGTGGAGGGCACAATAGAAACTTGGGAGCTTTTAGTGTTCCTTTTTCCTGATTAAATGCATATCACATAAGGGCTCTTAATGGGAGAAGGGGAGTACAGCTCCCAGTACATCTGGTCCCTGGTATTAATCTTAACTGTCTGCTGATATCAAGGCACGTGGCTTTTGGGACAGCAAATACCTGCAATGATGACTGAGTCAGTTCGGGCTGGGCCAAATTTCAATGTCATCTCATGCTTGTGTTTATGAACTGCCAGGTGGTCCTCGTTTGTAAATCTCTGAAACGAAACAGAAATGGAGATGTGAAGAAAAAAAAAACAAAACCATTTCAGTGCCCTTCGAAAATGTCCTACAAAACATCCTGCAATGAGGTTGGTCCTTGGAAAGAGGGACTGGAGAGGGAGAAAAAAATAGGAAGTGATGGAAAAGGAGAAGAGATGGAGGGGGAAAAAGCACTAGAAGGCAGGGGGGAGAGGCGAGGAGAGGGAGAAGACAAGACCATAAAACCAACTGCTCTGTAATATCAGGTCCAAACAAGAGAAGTGGACAGATTGTTGGAGAAGTGGGGTCCACGCAGGAGGCTTCAAATGAAAAAAAATTAAGGCAAACTTGTAGTGAACAAGGGGAACACAATTTTTAATAATAATAATAAAAGAGAAGGGAAAAGCTGGGCACTCGGTCATCATGAAAATAGGAGATTCAGAATGAAGCTCTCCATGGTGGGGCTGAATTATACTATTTTACGAGGGGGGCTAACAGGGAGATAAATTATGCAGGATTAGGAGAACCATTTAACTTCCTGGCCTCTACAGTGCTGCAGCAGGCGCCTGCGTGGCTATTTGGCTTGGAGTTTTAATGAGCCAGGACGGAGCTGTAGAGGACCAAGGCCCAATGGCCAGCAATAATGGCACATACCAGCCCCATCGGCCAAATGCTGTCTCCCCTCACAGGGCAGCCCTCCTGGGCTCCATGAGCCATAAAAGGGCCAGTACCATGCTGTTGGCTGTATAATGGTAGAATAAAAATGCAAGCAAAAAAATATTTTTTAAGAGTAGGGAGGAGTCTGTAGGCAGGATGAGGGAAGAGAACAAGAGATGGTACGGAGCTTTTATTTGGTTAGGCGAAAGGACAATGAAGAAAAGTGGGCTGGCTAAGTCTACCCTGTTTATGACTAAGTAAGTACAGGGTTACTGAACAATAATTTATGCCCCTACCCCTTCTTTAAAAGGGGGAGGTGAAAGGAACAGATGAACAACAGTAATTCAAAAGAATAATACTCTCAAAAGTCCCTTTGAGGCTGCTGGCCATGTTCTTCATTAAAACATGCCTGCAACCCAGTCACAGCCTAGATGCTGCAGTTTTCCACAGCTCCTTCACTGTGAGTCTCTGAAACATGGTTATTTGTCTTTTTGGTTCTAAAAATAGTAACTGCTTCATTCCCTCTTTTTACTTTCTTCATCAGATGCATGCTCCCCACCAAATGCCACAGCGCCTTTAGCCTTCTCCACAGCTCTCTAACTGCCAAACCCAGTATATAGGAGTTGGCCCCATCCTAGCTCCTACCCTGTCAGAAATGCACAACCAAACTGTTTCTGCTACTTTATTTTATCTGAAAGTAGCTTTTCCCCAAATTCACAACTAAAGCCAGTTTACTATCTAAAATCCTTCCAGGCAAGGCATATGGGCCTAAAGGGTAGAGGAAATTTTCTTTTCTTTTCTTTCTTTTTTTTTTTTTTGAGTTGGAGTCTCACTCTGTCGCCCAGACTGGAGTGCAGTGGCCGCTCCCGGCCACCACAGCCTCGACCTGCTGGACTCCGACGATCCTTCCGCCTCAGCCTTCAGAGTAGCTGGAATTACAGGCATGTGCTACTATGCCTGGCTGATTTTTTGATTTATTGTAGAGATGAGGTATCGCTGCCTAGGCGGGTCTCGAACCCTCAGGCTCAGGCAATCCACTCACCTTAACCTCCCAAAGGCGCGGGATTACAGGCTGAGCCACCAAGCCCGGCTGGAACTTTCAATTAAAAGTATGAAGACCCAAGAAGTAAACAGTCAAAAGAAGATTGACTTAGTGGTTTCTGATGGATCTAGGACAAAACTGAATAAAGTGTGAGAAAATTTAGCCAAGAACTTTAGTTTTCTCTATTGTTGGTAAACCCAGACACCAACTTTTTCAGTTATAGGTTTTTCCCGAGGAAAAAACAGAGGATGCAGGGGGAAGGGGAGAATAGTTTATTAACCATGGGTATGATACTTGTAGATTAAACAAGTCACTGCAGAGTGCCTGGGACTACGAGGCATTTAGTAAAAGAAAAAGAACAGAACCTAGTCTAAAATGCAGGAGAAAAATATAATTTTAAGGGAATATGAAACATAGTAGATTAACCAGGGTTGTAAACTTTCAAAATATATTCGTACTGTTAATAACAATATTTGTCAAAAATATGTTTATATGTACTTAAAGGAAACTTTAGGTAGGTAGCTTGAAAAATTTTGCACCAGCCGGGCTCAGTGGCTCAGCCTATAATCCCAGCACTTTGGGAGGCCGAGGTGAGTAGATTGCCTGAGCCCGCGGGTTCGAGACATGCTTGGGCAACTTGATGAGACCTCATCTCTACAATAAATCAAAAATTAGCCAGGTGTGGTAGTACGTGCCTGTAGTTCCAGCTACTTGGAAGGCTGATGTGGAAGGATCACCAGAGCCCAGCAGGTTGAAACTGCAGTGGCCGGGAGCGGCCACTGTACTCCAGTCTGGGTGACAGAGTGAGACTCTAACTCAAAAAAAAAAAAAAAAGAAAGAAAGAAAAAAGAAAAATTTTGCACCATGTTCTAGCATTTAGAAGAATTTTTTTTTTTTTTTCTAGTCGGAGTCTCACTCTGTCACCCAGGCTGAAGTGCAGTGGTACAATCACAGTTCACTGCAGCCTCAAGCTCCTGGGCTCAGGCGATCCTTCTGCCTCAGCTTTACAAGTAACTGGGACTACAGGCGCATACCACCATGCCTGGCTGTTTTTTATTTTTTGGTAGAGACAAAGTCTTGCTATGTTGTCCAGGGTGGTCTTGAATTGAGCTCAAGTAGTCCTCTTGCCTTGGTCTCCCAAATTGCTGGGATTACAGGTGTGAGCCACTGTGACCAACCTAGAAGAATGACTTTCGAGCAAGAAGTCTTCTTCTACTTATCAGAAATCTAGTTTGCTAAAAAATGAGTAGGGAAAAATATTTATTATTTTTTTGAGTAGGAATCTCACTCTGTCGCCCATGCTGGAGTGCAGTGGTATGCTCACGGCCACTGCAGCCTCGTCCTGTTGGGCTCAGGCAGTCCTTCCACCTCAGCCTTCCAAGTAGCTGGAACTACAGGCAAGCATTACCACGCCCGGCTTATTTTTTGATTTATTGTAGAGACAAGGTCTTACCAGGTTGCGTGGGCTGTTCTCAAACCCCTGGGCTCAGGCAATCCTCTCACCGTTGCCTCTCAAAGTGCTGAGGTTATAGACTGAGCCACAGTGCCCGGTCAAGAGAAAGATTTTAAAACCTCCATCAGGTTTCACTCTGATTACGACTGTTCAGTATTTTAAAAGGCAACTCCCCCATTCTGCTACAACTCTGCTGCACAGTCCTAACTTGTCCTATTTATCCTCTAGTCTTTGTTCCTCTTTGCTGCCTAAACTCCCCCATCCCCCTCCACACCACCTTTGAGCTATTTGTTTTTCCAAGTTAAAAGCTGGGGCCTGAAGAGAACTGAAGGTGGCTGAAACAATCTCCCAGCCAGCAGCATCTCCTGTCTGTATTTGCATTTGATAAATGCGAATACAGTCAGGAAAAATATTACATCTTTACTTTTACTGAATTCTAGCTGAAGTTGAGTATTATTAGTAGAAAAGCACATATATTACGTCAAATATTTTTTCATATATTTTTGATAGCCATATCACGGTATCATAAGTTTCCTTTGTAAGTCTATGTATTTTAGTTTATGAATTTAAAACCATTACTATGAGAAAGGGTCCACAGGCTTCACCAAACTGCCAAAGGGAGTCCATGACACGAAAACAAAAAACAAAAAACAAAAAACAAAAAATCAAGACTTCCTGACTATGCAACACACTGCACTTCAGAGGAGAAATCAAAAGGGCAGAATTTTAAGCAGGGCACTGGCCTCGTCCTGGCTCCAGTCATCTCTCCCTGCTATTTCTTTTTCTTTTTTTTTTTTTGAGTAGAAGTCTCACTGTTGCCCAGGCTGGTGAGCAGTGGCATGCTCATGGCCACCACAGCCTCTACCTGCCGGGCTCAGGCGATTCTTCTGCCTCAGCCTTCTAAATAGCTGGAACCACAGGCGCACACCACCATACCTGGCTAATTTTTTTGATTTATTGTAGAGATGAAGTCTTGCCATGTTGCCCAGGCTAGTCTCAAACCCCTGGATTCAGGCAATCCTCTCGCCTCCACCTCCCAAAGTGCTGGGATTACAGCCATGAGCCACCATGCCCGGCCCCTGCTGTTTCTAATACAATTTTTGTATGTCTTGGGTAGGAGAATAAAAGTTTACTTAAGCTTTTTGTCAAAGTGATTGTCAATCTGGTTACTGTTTAGAATATTCCCTTTTTTTGAGTCAGAGTCTCACTCTGTCATTCCTGGCTACAGCAAAGTAGCACAATGAAGGCTTACTGCAGCCTCAACCTCCTGGGCTCAGGCAATCCTTCCAACTCATCCTCCTAAGTAGCTAGGACTACAGATGCACACCACCATGCCTGGTTAATCTTTAAAATTGTTTATAGAGACAAGGTCTTGCTATATTAACCAGGCTGGTCTCAACTCCTAGGCTCAGGCAAAACTCTCACCTTAGCCTTCCAAAAGTGCTGGGATTACCGATGTAAACCACCATACTCAGCTTGAATATTCCTTATATTGTCTCTCATTTACTAAACATTAACACTTTACAAATTTTCTCGATTAGTCTTAAACTTCATGCTTAGGAAACCATACCTTTGAAAGTAATTTATCAATTAAAATACATAAAATTATTGTTATTACTATTATTATATTTATTTATTTTGGGGTCTACTCTGTTGCCCAGGCTGGAGTACAGTGGCACAATCACAGGTCACCACAGCCTCAACCTTCTGAGCTCAACTGATCCTTCCACTTCAGCCTCCCCAGTAGATGGAACTATAGGCTATAGGCCCAGCTAATTTTTTTGTTGTTGTTGAAACGAGCTCTTGCTATGTTGCCCGGGCTGGTCTCGAACTCTTGAGCTCAAATGATCCTTCCGCCTCAGCCT